AAACACCAGGTAGTGTCGAACACGATCCAGAAACACCAGGTAGTGTCAAACATGGTCCAGGAATCCTAGATCATGTCAATTTAGTGTTTTCATTGTAGGATCAAGTCATGTGCATGTCCTGGGGTAATCCACACATAATCAGTGACTGACCCATCCTCAAATTCACTCACTGACTGGCTAGACAGTGGGAAGGAGGTGAGCCGTGAGCAGTACTAAACATCGTACGCAAATCCTTAAACCTGTGTACAGGGCAACTGTGTGACACGTGTTAAGACCGTGAGAGTGCAGGACCTCTGCCATTACAGTCAGTCTGTGGGGGTACTGATGGCGCTGAGCCACAAACTCTGAACAACGTCTGCAGCAAAAGATGTGGACAAGTGAGGACAGCATGATTACACTTCACTGGACTGCCTAGCCATCTTTTTCCCTCTACCAGCATCTTCAGTGGACACAGACTGGATAGAAATGCTGAAGCTCGTTCAGCAGGGAGGATAGTTTAAGGAAAAACATGGGCAAACTAAACAGGAAGATAGAAAGTTAGTTAAAATCACAAGTTGTTGAGATCTGGAACTTGCTGCCTTCCAGAGCACAGGAAGCAGGTTTTAATGAGAAACTAGAGAAATGCATGAAAAGAAAGTGATTGCAGTTCAAGGGGAAACAATAGGACCAAGCTAGTACAGACCCAATGGACAGAATGGCATTCTCCATCACTCTATTCAGTGAAGAATTCCAGGTAGAGTAGGGAGCTTACACCATGTTGTGCAGGGGGAGTTCGAAACTGACACCATGCTACGCTGGGGGAATTCGAAACCGACACCATGCTGAGCTGGGGGAGTTTGAAACTGACACCATGCTGCGCTGGGGGAATTTGAAACCGACACCATGCTGCACTGGGGGAATTTGAAACCGACATGATGCTGCACCGGGGGAGTTTGAAACCAACATCATGCTGTGCCGGGGGAGTTCGAAACCGACACCATGCTGCACTGGGGGAATTCGAAACCGACACCATGCTGCACTGGGGGAATTCGAAACCGACAACATGCTGCGCAGGGGGAATTCGAAACTGACACCATGCTGCACTGGGGGAATTCGAAACCAACAACATGCTGTGCTGGGAGAATTCGAAACTGACACCGACATTATGCTTGGGGAGACATTCAAAATCCACTGTGGTTGCACTCAGTTTACTCAAATACAGCACAGTCTGCTGGCCGTACAGGCAGGGAGAGGTGAAAGGGGCACAG